ATAAAAAAATGTGACAACAGTTGCTTAAAGGAAAAGTGTAAAAAAAGAGAAATGCTACTGTGATTAAGACGCCAGCATTGATTGGCTCAGCTTAAAGGGCCATTTCTGCCACAGAGAAACAGGAGAAATGGTTGGAGTAATGATTGTTTCAGTGGGGTACCACGGGCATGCAAAGCCAACTCTGCTACACACAGATCTGTTGCTTCTCCAGTACAGAGTGGCTGAGGCAGAGAAAAGCTCTGCTCCTCCATCTTGTGCCCCCATCATCATTCAAGCTTGTGAGTTGCAGGTAGGAGCCTCCTGCGCTGTTGTGACCTTGAACTGTCTCTGCACAGAGTGCATGGTGGATGGATGGGTTCAGATGGGGTGGAAACGTCATCAGGCCCTGGGTGACCTCCTTCAGCTCCCCAACACATAATGTGCTCAGTAACCAGAGCTGTGTGCACGAGCCCAAGTGGACTTTGCCCCTTAAAGTAACCAACCACACCACTAGACTAAGAAGCTTAACCAACAGAATGTGCAGCGATACAATAAAATGAACATCAGTAGCTCAAGGCCTATCCTCAAAGGCGTCGTTATGATTTTAAAGAGAAGAATCTAAAACGCAGCCACAGTCTGCAGACGATGGCAGAGGTGGGACGACTGAGGCAAAGTGCCCTTAAGATTAACCAGAGGCTAATTGCTCATTACAGTAGGTAAACAAAGGTATTAGGAACCAATCAGGGCAGAACTAACAGGCAAATACCGTACTTCCTTCCTTCCAACATTTGTTAAACTTGTAAACCTTGTGTTGTGCACTGCAGTCAATCGTCTGTTTAAATGTAAACTTACTGGTTGAGATACACATCCACCAAAAGGAAAACTGTGATTATGAATATTTTTATATTACAATGGATCAGAGGCGACAACTCTACAGAGAACTGGCGTCCATTTTCCAAAAGCTCTAAAAACCAAATGAATGCTACTGTCTCATATTTTTATTTTGATACTACTTCCTGTCCCCAGCTCACCCCGACTCCCAGGAACTTTATCTCATCACCCAGATTGGTTTCACCTGCTTCTCATTAATGACAACTGGTTACAATAGCATATAGCAGCTTCTCACCCTGTGGGAAGCTGACAGATCGTTCTAACTCCTGTTCAGACTTTCCAGCATTTTACCTGTTGCTGTGATTCCAGCTCTGACCCCAGATTTCCGTTTGACCATCGAGTTTTGCCTAGCCATCTATTTCTGCTCGTGTTTTTGTGTGTATGGACTATCGGACTCCCCTCTCTGACCTCTCATTTGTGGATCCCTCGGCTGTGTAAGTTTGCTGGCTCTGACCCTGGACTGTATTATCAACCTGAGTGTGTTTCGAGTTTAAGTAGTTTTCTGTATCGTTTAGTTACCAGTGCTCTTGTTAAAGAGACAGTGTTTCACTTATCCTCGTCTGGCTCTATAATTGAGTTCCCCCGTGACATCATCGGCAGCTTTACGTGCCGATCCTGACAGCTACAAAAGTTTAAAACCGGTCTCCGGCGTCCCCAAATGAGCAAAAAAAGTAGGGCAAGAGAAGTTCACGTTCCACCTACGTGTGACTTATTCTGGTAGCTGAGGTTCTGCAACTTTGTGTCAAGTTATATGTGGTTATAAAGTCATGCAATTTATGAGGAGTTCAAAACTGCAGGTGCAGGTCTTGAACTTCCTGTGCCCCAAGAAACCCTCCATCAGTGGACTGAACGACTACAGACCTGTCACCCTGACATCTGTAGTTATGAAGTCCTTTGAAAGACTGGTGTTGGCCCACGTGAAAGACATCGTAGACCCCCTGCTAGACCCTCTGCAGTTTGCCTACTGGGCAAACAGGTCAGTGGATGATGCAGTCAACATGGCACTGCATTACTTCCTGTAACACCTCGACTCCTCAGGGACCTATGCACGGGCCCTCTTTGTGGACTTCAGCTCAGCGTTCAACACCATCATCCCAGACATCCTCCACTCCAAACTGACCCAGCTCACTGTGCCTGCCCCCACCTGTCAGTGGATTACTAG